TAAAACTTGCCATTTAATAATAAAATGACTTGGGTATGAAATGTAAATGACAATCCCACTGAATTTGCAAGGGTATATCGAAGTGTAAAATGACATTTAGCAAAAGATTTTTCTAGTGAAGACAGTGATTTAATGAAGTGTAAAATGACATTTAGCAAAAGATGTTTCTAGTGAAGATTTAATTACATTAAAATCAAATCTTTCAATAACTTTGCGTTTAAGTTAGGATAACTTTGATTGTCCTCCAGATTTGAAGTTCACTGTTTACACAGATCAATGAGACATGTGCCAGCTGGACATGAGACCTGGTGGTGCTAATGAGTTTGACATCTATATTTGGATTTTCTTGAACTTCTCTCTGTCTTGCAGGGTGAGAGGGGTTGGCTCAGGATTGTGACGAGCGCCTACAAAGGAGGAAGTGGAAGCAAGTTTAATCTTGCCTTGGAGGAAGACTGCGTGTATGGAGATGTAATTGTACCTGCAACCTATTGATGGACTAGTGATATAACTTTGGAACATCTTTAAATATTGTGTAGACTTAACTAAACTATGTAGATGGTTGGCAGGAAACTTCAGCCCTGGACAGCTGGGGAGCATGAGCTAAAGAGGAAAAAGTTCAACTGTTGTGTTGATGTGACCTTGACAGAAACTTGTCAAGTAATTAAATTATTCACTATAGATAAGAATTTGCCTCAACTTGTATTTCCTTCATAAATTAGTCGTGCTCTAATTTTGATTCGAGCCAAGGACGTGACCAGCGTTACAGGCTGTGGTTCGACTGACACGGAGCTCCTCGTCAATTCTTCGGCGCTGATTAAACTTCTACAATATTTTAGCAAATGCACCTCAGGGTTACAGACAAATGTTGACATTACATTTCAATGCTGAAATTGGATATCTGTCAGAGGTGGTAGTATGGACCCTCACTCAACTCTTACTATTCTTTGTGGTGGGATTATTCCACAAAAAGGTCCTAACCCTGAGTTCATGTTCTGTGGGCCTGAGGCAAATGCTTGCTTTGCAGCTGCATCAATTGTTACAAACTGGTCTTAAATTACCCAAACTTTAAGCAACATTGCTGTGAAGACGGCATTAATATTCTTAAAAAAAAAAAAAAAGCAACGTCCATTAAATGTGAACCTATGTGTGCAGTGATGGGGAATGAGACCTCAGTGTCCAGAGGTTTTTTTTTTTTTTTTTTTTAAAAGAACAGTACTAATGATGGTGAACTCTTCATTTAAAGCTGTAAATCAGGATAACAATGCACAGCCTCCCTGTATGGTGGGAGACTCCAGGTCACAGGTTACCTCTAGAGTGCTGTTTATCTCCAGAAAGACATGTATTTGTTCTACATCTGAGTCCTAGTAACAGCTGCATCTCCTTTTATTGACTCGTGTGTTTTTAGCTTTGCTTCTGACGCCCTACTGCAGAATAATCACCAGTTATCTACAGTGACACGTGCTGCAGCACAATAGCTTTCTGAGTTTACAGGCAATAATGGCCTCTTTCTTTTTTTTTCTTTTTTTCTTTGCTGTTCATCTAGGGAACAAAAGAAAACTGAGCACTGAGATATTTAGTTCTGGGGACGGAGCAATAATCAAAATGAATAAATGCTTGCTGTAGTGCTTCACTGCTGATATGGAAATGTTTTCCCCATTAACTGCATTTTCTGTTCCGCATCTCTGGGAGGAACAAAGGATAATCAAACCTTTATGCAGCTCTCTTAAACCAAACCAGGGCTGACCTTAAGCCCATAAAGCTCTGGTCTGTCCGAGTGGACGTCCTGCTGCTAAAAAAAAACAAATATTAAACATAATTTGCCTTCTTAATATTATACCATCCAGCCCCCCCCTTCACCCTGCAGTTGTGCAATCTTTCAGGTTGGAATTTAATTTGCCCTCTGATTGAATTTCCTGCATGTTTTCTCATTTGCATAATCACAAACATAGCTCTAATGGCTGTGGAAGGAAACACATGGTATGCACAGGCTCTAAAAATCCAGCAGCACTCAAAAAATGTGCCATGATTGAAATAAAAGAATGTATAAGCAGTGCACGGTGCAATTGCACATGACTTATTTTCATACTGAATGATTCAGCATTCATCTTCATTAAAGCTATTGCTGCGGCCAAATGGATTTTTTCAGCCATGCCTGCAATCCCATTATGCATTGTTTCATTGATCAATATGTTGCACTGAAAACATGAAAATAGAGCGGGGCGGTCGGTTCTTATATGAAAAACAGTATTAGCCGTTACAAATGTATCTAGCTGGAGGTGAGGCCTGGATTTTAATCTTTAACTAAATCCAAAGGTCGGCCCCGGGGCCAACCCTGGCACTTGGACTGGCTTTACGTGGCCTGGATTTTCTGCCATGCTACTAATGTCAAACATTTGGTACGAAATTTCACAACTTTTCAACGGAAATATTTAATCATGATTTCGTTTTGCTAAATGTTGGCTAACCTTTTGGCGAATTTATTTTCTAACAGCTTGTACCTTTGTCTACTATGCAGCAATTATTAAACTCTGTGTATGTTTCCCAATTATCAACTGTTTTTAGCAGTTCACAGCTGACATGTCTTCTACTCAAAGACTAGGAGGTTTTACTATGTTTTAAACTGAACTGCTGCATGCCACTAGTGTGTGGTTTTCTACAATCCTCCCTATAATGCATTCATTTTCTCTACTGGTAAAATCTGCCTCTGACTTTAAGCAGCAGGGAACAAAAGGCTAACAACTTGACAGTCACGCAAAAATATTCTGCTATTGCAAAGAGAAACATGTTCCCTGATTTAGCCTGTGAGGTTAGAGATGCTCAATCTGATGTTGAAGCAAAGCATGCCACTATGTTTCTCTTAAATTATTTCTGTCAGTGCAGGCAGTGCAGTGCAGGCTCTTAAATTATTTCTGTCAGTGCAGGCAAATGCACGAGATAAAAAAAAAAAAGATGTCTTCATGCATTCCACATTTCAATAAATCATTTATTCTTCAAGTATGAATAAAGCAGATTTTTCTTTCCCTTCAAGTCTAAACACCAAATACATGGCACCGATTGCAGCGCACGTTGTGTTCATAACTATAATAATAATAAATATAACAATGCATGAAACATTAGTGGAGAATTAGCATTATGAGTGGGTATAAATCATACATTATCACGCTGCTGTCTTCAGCATGAGGCTCATCTGACTTCATTTGCATTGTTTAATACTGATTCTGAAACACAAACAGCACAGTTTAGACACGAGTCTCACACGATTGCTAATGAGCCCATGCTGGAAATTGGATTTGGTCATTAAAAATAAAAGCTACCCCTCCACTCAGCCAGCTACATATTTTTCATTTGACATTTTTGTGTTGGAGCTGCGAGAAAAAAAGAGTCATTAAAAAAAATCATACCAACTATGTCTTTGACAGCAACTGAAGTTTATTGTTAAGAACGCTATTTAACGCTATTTAAAAAATAATCAGCATGGAAAATGTCCATTGTATACTGTTTCCTATTGTTATGTGTTTCAGTGATACTGTGGTTACGTTTTAGATCTTTTAAATTACTACCTTCTTGGTTAGCATAGTTAGAATTTATTTCGGCTTCACTATTTCTCAAAAATTCTACTTAATTAAAATATATTTTTTGCAGCTGGTATTCCTTTGTTTTCGTCTATCTTTGTTGGCCAACTGCTAGATTTAGTTGGCTCTACATTTCTCCAATTTTACACAGTTCTATTGTGTAAACCTTTTTGTAACCTTTTAGCCATTTTCATGGTTTAGGGTTATAGCAGAGGTGCTAACCGTACAGACATTCAGCCTTTTGGTGTTCTTATGTAACCTTTAAGGCTGCTGTAGAATTAACTCCAGTTAATATTAATCCCTTTTAGTCACAACAGAATTAAGGAATAATGAGTCCATGAATATTTCAGTTACACTGCAGCAACAAATGCACCAGGCACACAATCTGCCCTGACTAGCAAAAAAATAATTGGCGATTACATCCATTATTAATGCTTCATCATAAAAATCATATTTTGCAGCAGGCAGAACAGGGAGAACCTGGGAGTGAAAAAAAGCCAATGATCGGTCAATACTATTTCATATTAACTTGCTGAGCTGACAGAACAAAGGGAGAGAGAGCAGCCCCAGAAAAAAAAACATCAGAGCTCAGTCAACCGTGCTTTTATTCGTCCATTTTACTCCAAAGGTAGCAGATTCTTATTAGATTCCTTAAATATAGATGTGAACCTTCCAAGTCAGTGAGTTCACACCACCTCCCCCCTGGAAGTTTTAATTAGAACACCAGTCACTCGTGTTATCGTTGTTTTCAAGAGGGAGCTGCTTCCACATTCCTGAACTGCCTCCTTCATTGCAGGATCAGAGGCCCGCCATCCTGCGAGGGGAGTGTGGATTGTTTAGGACAGCTGCTTCAGAGTCCCTCTGGGTCCTAACATCCAGAAACCAGGACGGATGAATAGATGGGTCAGGATGATGATGATTCCCGGCTGGCTAATGGAGAGCCATGCTCCTGTGATTTGACAGGATTATTGCTGAGATACAATGTGAAATTTATTGTCACATAAGAGGCAGTTCATAATGAAAACAAATGGTGCAAGACAGTCGGGGATCAGCAGATTATACGTGTCAGGCTACATGCAATGAGCTTCTCGCCTCTGTGCTCTAAGCACAAAAGACGTAGATATGAAGATTCCTGGAACACTTATGATACTCTGGAGAGTATGAGGATTACGGTGCTGGGAGAAATATCTCACAAGTACGTTCTGATAAGGATTAGGAGTGAAGATAAAGGCTGCAGAAAGAAACGCAATAAACATTTTTTAGTAATGAAATGAAAACAAAATACAAAGTTTTGGTATCTCACTAGAACGACTGGATTGTTGATAGAAGGAAAGACCATCAAGTGGTAACAGGTCTGACTGTTACTAAGAATGCATGTAAGTGGAGTGTCCACAAAGGGACCAGTCTCTGCAAACAAAGATGGTAATTTTTTTTGCATTTCAATAAAGAGCGCCAACTTTTCCAAAATGTAAGTTTGTAGAACTCTGCGTAATGAAAGACAAGGACTTTTAGGCAGTTTCAGGCTGATTTTGCGACAATGGGAATAATGAAGAATTCTTGGTTCCATTCATTTTTACTAAGTCCTCACAATCACTAGTTTTAACGTACTGTAGCTCCAAACTTCTGATCACTGGCCCAAACTTCCTGAAGACAGACAAATGCTAACAATCCTTGGGAAAGTGTGACCACATATAGATAAAACAATTCTTTTCCCTCACAGACAGTGTCCAATTGACATAATCCTGCATGCTTTTGGACTGACGGAAGAAACTGGAGTTCCCAGAAGTCCCGCATTCACATGAAGGGAACATTCAGGTTCCATACAGAAGGACTGGGGATCGAACCAGTGTAGTGTTCTTTATGCATCTTAATATACATAAAAATATATATTAATGAAAAAACATTGAGAAATTGACAACATTATTGTACCTATGATGTGTTCAGACCTGAGAAACAACAGTAACAAGTCTCAAATCAGATTCCATTTAAGAAAGACTAGAGAATGTTTCCAATACATTGGATGTTAGAGTTCAAAACATGTATAGATGAAGACAAACGCAGTGTGCACTGATACGATGGGTTTAAGTGAAATCAGAATTATACTTCAGCTGAAACCTGACAGTGAACATTATTCTTGGAGGGTTTGTTTTTTTTCTTTTCTCTCACATTGATTCATTCAGCCAGAGAGAGGAGGTCAGAAATACTATATACTGAGCTGCACTTGCTCTCTGCTGCCCCCTGTTGAAACGTTACATGACGTCTTACAGCTTGTTTACATCATGACCATTGTGTATTGTGGAGGGGATGTTTTTGTGTAGATTTTGTAGGCTTTTCGAGTCAGTACTGAGAGAATACAAAGATACAGTATTTACTAATAGTGTGCACATACAACACAGCCCTCTGTAAAACAAAAACAAAAACGTCTTTATTTATGTTTTGTAAAAAAAAAGGATCAGTATAATCTAATCTGCACACATGGAGTTAGAAAACAAAAACTCTCTGCAGATTATTGTGTCGTCTATATGAAGCCATAAATCTCTTCTGCAGCAGGACACACTGAGACATGTACGGTTTCTTTAATGTATTTGACTCAGTTTGAACATAAAATGATGCATGAGTCCATATATTGCTCCACTGTATGACAATGCCCGCATGTAACATGTATGGAACAAAGGGAGGGAAGCCACTGCTCCTGGCGCACACGGGGTTAACGCGTGTGCAGAACCTCAGATTTGGTGTCGATGCTTCTCTCCAATAGTGATTAACGATATCGATCCGGGAGTCAAGTGCAAAGTTTACGCAGCCAGGACAGAGACACGAGGACACAAATGCATCTCTTGAGGAGCCTAAGTAGTTAAATTCGAGGTTATTGTGCGCCAAGGTATTTCTCTCCCTGGTGTGTGCAAGGAAAAGAGAAATAAAAAACTTTAATAAGAACTCGAAATGTCGAAGGAATGATTGGTGCTGCCCTCAAGACGCCAAACTCTGCCAAAATGTGGCTTTGAAGCAGAGGGAGTCTGCTTTCACCCTGATGAGAAACTTGGTTTGGATGGATGGCTGTGCGCCCCGCCCTCCTGCTCCTTATAACCAGAAAGCCTGTTTGCACAAGAGCTCAAACATAACAGGAACATAAGAGGAGAGCGCGCCTCTGTCCATGACCCACTCCTGGAGAAGGCTACCACGCACTCTGGCTACAAAGACTTCACGGATTACACTGCTTCTTATTGTTGTTGTTGTTGTTGCTTCAGTCTTTCACGTCCAGAAGTGACCATGGATTTTCTCAACCACAACTATTTGAACGCGCGCAATCCTTACGACTACACTTTTAATTTCTGGAACGACTATCTGGGGCTGACGACGTTGGTGACGAAGAATAACAAGCTCAACATGCCCCAGAACCCCAACTCCATCACCGAGTCCCTGAAGGCGACCCTGGGTTTGGACGATGCCCCGGAATGTCCGTGCGTAATCGCGGGCGGCGTTGGAGAGAGCGGACACCTGGACTGCTGCTGCCCATCAGGCAGCCCTCCACCGGCCTCCATCCTGGACTTAAAGGAGCGTTTCGCGATACTGAGGCCCTTCCAGAACCCGCTCAGCGTCCAGCTGCCGGAGCGTGAGATGAGCTTCGGTGGCAGCCTGGCAGGGTTCGATCTGTTCGGCGTGGAGAGGAAGATGCGCAAACCCGCGTCCAGGAGCAAGCAGGAGCCCAAAATCTGCGTCTTCTGCCGGAACAACGGAGCTCCGGAGGAGGTGTACGGCTCCCACGTCCTGAAGACACCGGACGGCAGGGTTGTGTGCCCGATTCTGAGAGCTTACACCTGTCCCCTGTGCAGTGCCAACGGGGACAATGCCCACACGATAAAATACTGTCCACTGTCCAAAGAGCAGCCTTCCCAGCGACCACTGAAGGGAGGGAGGGCAGTGGGTGGTAAGAGGATGAAAATATTCTAAGACTATAATAAAGTTTTATCTAGAAAAAAAGAATTGCACTGAACAATTTCCAGATGACTGTTTTAATTTCGGCTCTAGCCTTTATTCCCAGTTTCATAAAAAACATATTGATTTTATCTTTTGATTTCTCTAAGATCTCTTATATTTTTATAGTTCATTTATCCACATAGAATAATTTTATGCTTTATTATACATTTGGAGTTTATTTTTCTTTTCCCAGTCTGTAGTCATTTGAGAGCTTGTGTGTGTGTGTGTGTGCCTATAAATACACCTATAATCACAAAAGTGTGAATAAAAATCTTTATAGTATTTTGGTCATGTAGAGAAACACACTGACATGGGTATAAGGGGATGAATGTCATATTTCCACCAAGTTGTAACGGAGAGCCAAGCTCCCCTCTGTGTTATGTTTTCCTTCCGTTTCCTCGTCTTAGAAAACCAAAGTTGAGTTTTTTGCCATTAAAAACAAAACGAAGCTGAAGAATGTGTCATCAAGGAGAGCTTTTTTGGTTCCAAATAACTCTGTAACATTTTCTTTTTTCCCCAACTTGCTTTGAAAAGTTGACATCCAATCTGTGAGGGAAGGGCAAAAGAGGAGGTAAAAAGACAATGTGGCCTCTGTTTAAGGCTCATATTCTCTGGAGAACATTATAATCAGTTGTTGCAAAGCCCAAACCTCTTCTCAGTCCAATGCTAGGAAGAGGAGATGATTATAAAAAAGAGATACTCTTTTATGTTTACATTCCATAATAAGGGTGACACACTGGATTTGTTTTCTCTCTTCTGGTCAGGTGTTCTCATAATATCGATATCATTATTATTATTTACTCATAATTTGAGGGTTTGCAGGCTGGACGGTTGCATTTCAAGGGTCAAAAAGAACTGGTGAATGTCTGTTTAATGTCAACCTGTCCCATCCTTTCTTATCCAAAATAAAGATGCAAAAATGTTTGTGAATGTACGGTTGAAGGTGTCACTTGCAGGACTGCACATTTCTGACAGTTTTGTTTACCAAAGGAATATCAAATTACATTGAAAAAAGCAG